CTGCATCTCTTTTTTTTTTTTTTTTTTTGTCAAACTGAAGGCACTCTTTTGTCCAATTCTGACGATGTCAGCACTCAGCACTCGGCTTGACTGGAGTAAAATGTCTTTATATACAAAGTTTTGCATTTGTTATACTGAAAACTTGAGACAAAAATCCACAAATATACAGTGAAATACGATAACATTTAATGACATGACAAAACATGTCATAACAATTTAGTCTTTTAACCAGGGCTCGACGCTTACTTTTCTTTTTAGGAGCACTTGTGCTCCTAACTTAAAAAATTTAGGAGCACGTTCAAAATTTTAGGAGCACCTTCTAATCAATAATCCAAAATGTTATCAAAAAGTAGCCTTCCCATTACGAGGTAATATTTGACTCCTCTAACTTTATTAAAAGTATGTCATCTTTTGTCAAATTCTTAAATTATATTTTATAAGCTTAACAACAGAATAAGAGTAGAATAAGAAACAAGTTAAAAATCAAATGAAATCAGTATTAACAAAAATAATTTGTAGAGGTGGCACAGAAGAACACAAAAGTGTTGTTTGATGTACTTTCAGACATTTAATGAGGTTCAGAAGTGGAATGAGTGCAATTAAATCCATAAATCCATGATGATATTAATGTTTTAAATATAAAATTTTGAATATAGAAATATTAAATGATTTAAATAACTGAAAAGATACTTTAAAAATGAAACTAAAACTGCCAGCAGGTGGCGGCAAGTCACTGATTTTTATCACTGAATCATTCATTCAATTGATTCATTCGAACGGCTTATTCATTCAAGAGTGACTGTCTTTATGAATGGGTAATCATGAATCACTGATTCACTAGATTCGTTTAAAAAAACTGTTCGTTCATAAACGAAACACCGCTGTGTTTGAATGGAGATGCGCAGCGGCTGAGCTGTGACTTTGTTTTTAAACTATTTTCGACATATTTCGAAATACAACGAAATAGAGCAAAATCAGACAATAGTGTTATAGTCAGACAATGTAAGTAACTTAAAATTAACTTCTTGTTTATTGAATTGTATTGTATTAAATCAGTTATCACATTTACAAACTCCCTTAAAAATCATTCAAAGCTGTCACTCATCATCTTAGGGCATCGCGAGCTCACATTTATAATCAACGAAGCTCTCTACACTGTGTGATGAATCTCTTATTTACACCCTGTCTACACTTTGCTTATGAAGGATTGGTGAGATATGTCTGATACATTACTCGACGCTGCAAAAACACGTAGAAAGCTTTGAAGCTTCCCTGAGCGCAATCACAAGTATGATGATGATCGGGTCAGTCGCACTGGTGCTCCTAAAATAAATTTCATAGTCGCACGCAGTAGTTTTCAGTCGCAAATGCGACTGAAATGGTCGCACAGTCGAGCCCTGCTTTTAACAGATAAAATGTTGCGGCCTTTTCATAGTCTTTAACTGTAACGAAGCCACTAAAGACTGTCAGCACATCACTGAATAAAACAGCAGCAGGTGTTTATGTTGTCATTTAAAAACACTAGTTTAGCAACAGACACAAACAGATTTAACAGGGTATGGTTAGAATTGCACAGCTGTACCCAGGCCTAAATTAGACCGGACTGACTGCATGTCAAAAAGACAAGAAGCAAAATTATACCTTTCAGCCCTGGACTCTGGTATTAAACTTCGCTTGGTGAGCTTCCATGATGTCATTATTACCAGCCATGTGACCAAAGGGAAGAGGCCCTGCTCCAGTGATGTCTAATGAAAAGCCTTTTAAAAAAAGCATGGTATTAAAATCTGAAAGTTTTTAGGGTCAAATTATCTTATCATTTGGCCCCAGTCTTTTACAGATGGGGCCATTTTCAAAGGTGAAGTGTGTAGTTTTTGATGTTTAAAGTACTTGCCTCAAAAATATTTAAATATTATAAAATGCTTTGACGTTCAAAAAAGCCAGTCATAGGTTGACTTCCTAAAGAGTGTATTCAGTTCGTCAAACAATGGTAACAAAGAGCGACATGATTGTTTAGGAAACCTGTTTGGAAACAATTCTGATTTGGGTCATAGTGGGTCATTACTTTCATAATGTAACTTATTTCTAAGTAGAAAAAAATAAATAAAACAAAATGAAAATAAATTAATTTATAATATTTTTTAATAAGGACAAATGACTTTAATAAAATAATGGTCCCACTTTATATTAGGTGTCTTTAAATACTTAATAATAAAATCATGAATTGTTAGGTACAATGTACCTATTGTGTTCATGCTAAATTTCAAAACACTTTTGCCGCGATTGAGGTGGGTTTGGTGGTGGTGAGAAGAAATTGTTGAATAAAGTCTTTTTCTTTTTTTTCTTTGAGCACAAAAAGTATTCTCGTAGCTTCAGAAAATTAGGGTTGAACCACTGGGCTACACATGGGCTATTTTAATTATGTTCTTACTATGTTTCTAGGCCATAAAATGTTTCAGTTGCATTGCTGTCTATGGAGGGCCAGAAAGCTCTCGGATTTCATCAAAAAATATCTCAATTTGTGTTCTGAAAATAAACAAAGGTTTTACGGGTTTGGAACGACATGAGGGTGAGTAATTAATGACATAATTTTCATTTTTGGGTGAACTACTCCTTTAAGGGTAGTAGTAGGGTCAATAGCGTAATTACAGATGCAATTACTGGACAGTATTTTCAAATATAAGTACAATGTAAAAACATGTACACATTGTATTAAATTATTCATTTAAATGAAAGTACATAGCAGTTAAGGACATGTAATATAAAGTGGGTCCAAAATATTTTTAATTGTACCAATGAATATTTCACAAAAAGAAAAGAAGATTGCATTAAGTGTGCTTTCATTTCATGTTGACTTCACAAATAAAGTGAAATGGCAGAAACTTAGGACTGAAGAATAAAGTGACGAAAGAAAGTTAGGACTGGCCCTTGGCTGGATAGACACAAGTTTTGATGTTATTTCAAACCAACCATTTTATATTTAGCATTTCCATCAGAACTCTGCCTGAACTTGTTGAGCTAAATTTGCTCTTGTGTTTTTAAGCAAGAGTGAGTCACTTCTGAAAATTAATCTGAAGATTATTTGCCAGAGGCGAAGGATCTGCTTCACCCCATCATATTAATACTGACTATAGTGTGGCACTTTGTCTTCTGAAAGCCAATCAACCCATAGTTCTTAAAATAAAATAAATATTTATAAACTGAAATATATATTTCAATTTCTTGATATTTATATGCAATCAAAATAGCTGTGGTGAACTACTCCTTTAAGGGTAGTAGTAGGGTCAATAGCGTAATTACAGATGCAATTACTGGACAGTATTTTCAAATATAAGTACAATGTAAAAACATGTACACATTGTATTAAATTATTCATTTAAATGAAAGTACATAGCAGTTAAGGACATGTAATATAAAGTGGGTCCAAAATATTTTTAATTGTACCAATGAATATTTCACAAAAAGAAAAGAAGATTGCATTAAGTGTGCTTTCATTTCATGTTGACTTCACAAATAAAGTGAAATGGCAGAAACTTAGGACTGAAGAATAAAGTGACGAAAGAAAGTTAGGACTGGCCCTTGGCTGGATAGACACAAGTTTTGATGTTATTTCAAACCAACCATTTTATATTTAGCATTTCCATCAGAACTCTGCCTGAACTTGTTGAGCTAAATTTGCTCTTGTGTTTTTAAGCAAGAGTGAGTCACTTCTGAAAATTTATCTGAAGATTATTTGCCAGAGGCGAAGGATCTGCTTCACCCCATCATATTAATACTGACTATAGTGTGGCACTTTGTCTTCTGAAAGCCAATCAACCCATAGTTCTTAAAATAAAATAAATATTTATAAACTGAAATATATACTTCAATTTCTTGATATTTATATGCAATCAAAATAGCTGTTTCAAAGCAGTTAGAGCATAAAAAGTAGATAAAACGTCCCATTGAACACTGATTTTGATCCAGGTTCTTGATGCCAAAATCCTGCAGTTCAAAAAAAACCTCAACTGAAAAACCAGGACTCAGCAAGACTATTATCGGTTCAAGAGTCAACACTGAGCTTTATTCACTCAATACAGATACTGTATCTGTCCTTGTTTCTCACACAATGTCTCTACTAGTAGGTCTTTGTAGAGTCACTGGAGATTCATGTCTTGACAAAAGGCCTTCGCTCTGTCCATTTGCTCCACGAGAGCTAACAGCCGACAGCTTTCATTTCCTCGCTTTTGTGTGAGTGTGTGCATGTGTTTGAAAGAGAGGATTTGCAGCACTGTATGTGAATAATAGATTCAAGCCCACGGGTTCCCTTCAGCAAGCTCTGCCTGTTTAAGTGAGAGTAGCCGACGGAGACATCTATTACCCTCCTGTCCGTCTCTCCTTCTCACTTGTTCTCAAGCACCACATTAAAAGGCAAAAAAATTATTTCCTTTTTAGTGCAAGACAAGGTCTAACGGAGTACAAAATCAAACATTACAACCCTCAGGGAGTTGACATGAAAACTTTAAATTAGGGCTGGACAATAATTCAATATCAATATGTATCGCGATATAATTTTTTTCTATAACGGTGATATGATTTTTAAACACATTTGTGATATTTCGATTTACATTACCAGTGTTTCCCACACTCTAAAAAATGCTGGGTTAAATACAACCCAGTGCTAGGTAAAATAGGGACAAACCCAGCAATTGGGTTGTTTTGACCCAGCGGTTGGGTTACTACCCAGAAGGTTGGGTTAAACATTTAACCCAACCGCTGGGTCAAAACAGCCCAATTGCTGGGTTTGTCCCTATTTTACCCAGCACTGGGTTGTATTTAACCCAGCATTTTTTAGAGTGCATACATTGATTTATTTGTGGCTCATGAAGAAACATGAGAACTGCACGTTTCAAAATCAAAACACATCGTGGGTGTTTTATATGAATGTATCTCTGAAATGAAAAAAGTTCCGATGGCATTTTCATTTTATCCGATAAAGTAGCGTTCATGAGTGGAGCTACTCTGATTACAGCCATTACTGGGGAAACCGCTAGTTCTACCGCTCTCAAAGCGCTACCTGCTGGCAGACAATCAGTTTGCATTTTTATTAAGCCCGTCTCCAGCAACATGTTTTTGTTGTTGTTGTTTTTTTTTCTGCAGCAACTCAAAGCACTTTTCATACTCTTTATACTGACTAAAGCACATTTGTTTCAATCTATACGAATAATCAGCCTACACTACCAGTCAAAAGTTTTTTAACAGTAAGTTTTTTTATTTTATTTTATCTCTTTTGCTCACCAAGCCTGAATTTATTTGATCCAAAGTACAGCAAAAACAGTACAATTTTGAAATATTTTTACTATTTAAAATAACTGCTTTCTATTTGAATATATTCTAAAATGTAATTTATTGCTGTGAATTTTCAGCATCATTACTCCAGTCTTCAGTGTCACATGATCCAGAAATCATTCTAATATGCCGATTTGCTGATTATCAATATTTAAAACATATTTAAAGTTGAGTAAAAATATTTTCAGGATTCTTTGATGAATAGAAAGATCCAAAGATCAGCATTTAAAGATCTGAAATAAAAGCTTTTGTAACATTATACACTATTCCATTCAAAAGCTTGGAGTCAGTATGATTTCTTTTTTGGTAAGAAATTATAGAAATTAATACATTTAGCAAGGATGCTTTAAATTGATCAAAAGTGATGATAAAGACATTTATAATGTTACAAAAGATTTCTATTTCAGATAAATGCTGTTCTTCTGAACTTTCTATTCATCAAAGAAACCTGAAAAAATTATAATCAGCTGTTTTCAACATAATAATAAATGCTTTTTGAGCAGCAAATCAGAATATTAGAATGATTTCTGAAGGATCATGTGACTTGAGTAATGATGCTTAAAAATATAGCTTTGAAATCAGGAATAAATTAAATTTTTTAATATTTTCAAATAGAAAACAGTTATTTTAAATCGTAAAAATATTTCAAAATGTTACTGTTTTTGCTGTATTTTGGATCAAATAAATGCAGGCTTGGTAAGCAGAAGAGAATTCTTTAAAAAACATTA